TCTGTTGTCTGTCGCCCAGGGAGGAGGTTATATGTAGATCCTTGTAATCGGTTCCCCCTTTCCACCCCACCCTCCCTCCACTTTTCACTGTATTCTTACTGGGTGGGGGGAAGTCTTGTTTTGATCTGCCCAAAAGAAGTATCTGTTTTCTATATAAAGAAGCCTTTAGGGGAAGAATCCTTGTGAAAGGTGGCACTCACCAGGGGTGTGCACCCTGATGCTGTTGATAACTTTGCAGATGGTGTGAGTACTTTGTGTTTGCTGGAACGAGACAGACTGGAGCACAGTGACCAAAGCCCCCACAGGACCCGAGACCACTCTAAGTGCTGTCATGGAATGGAAATACAAGCCTTTTGTCATTCGGGGCAAAAAAATATATGTAACAAAATATTTCGGTGTTTTATGTGTCCAAGTCCATGACATTAATTATATTCACCATGTTGTGCACAACAGGAACCCTGTTGGTGCAATGGTTAAGTGGTTGACTGCTGATCCTAAGGTTGGAAGTTCAGGCCCAGCCATGGCTGCATAGGTGAAAAGGCTTGGTGTGATCAGTCTATAAAACCCAGGGACTGGGCCTTCTCTGTCCCATAGAGTCATTATGACAAAAACTGTTGTGCAAAAATCATTAGATTACCCCCTTCAAAATTTTTTCATTGCCTTTAACAAGAACTTTGCACCCCTTAGTAATGCCCTGCCCACCCACCTCTGGCAGCCACTGATCAACTTTGCTCTCTAGGTATTTGCTTGTTCTTGGTATTTTCTGTAAGGGAGATCATATTTGTCCTTTTATGTCTGAATAATTTCACTTTCTGACTAAATGATATCCCCTGTATGAACAAATGTATTATCTACATGTTAATGGATGCTTGGGTGGTTTCTGGCTTTCAGCTGTTGTGAATAATGCTGTTAGGCACATTGCTATGCAAGTCTCTCTGAATTCACCTCCCAAACGTGTGGTACGATTCACTTCTGCTTTCTAGATGTTCTTGTTGACAGTTGATTGTAGTTTTGGTGTGGCTCTTTGGGTGGACCTGGTCTGAATTCATTGAGCTGCTTGGATATGTAGTCATGTCTTTTGCCAGGTGTGAAAAGTTTTCAGCCATTATTTCTTCCTATTTT